AGCCAAAGCAGTCTTTTTTTTTTCCAATTACAGAAATCTCTTGCATATTATCACTCCTAATAATGTGGCACTCCCAAACTGAAGGCATGACTTTCTTTTTTTTATTTAGTATTTTATTTTTCCCCAATTACATGTAAAAACAATTTTTAACATTCATTTTGTAGATTTTGAATTCCAAATTCTCTCCCTGCTTCCCCATCTCCCTCACTGAGAAGGCAAGCAATTTGATTTAGGTTATCATGTGGAGTCATGCAAAACATATTTCCATATTAGTCATGTTATAAAAGAAAACACAGACCAAAAAACCCCCCAAATCAAGAAAGTAAAAAAAAAATGTTTCGCTCTGTATTCAGACTCCCATCAGTTCTTTCTCTGAGAATGGATAGCATTTTTCATCATAAGTCCTTCAGAGTTGTCTTGGATCTTTGTATTGCTGAAAAGAGCTGTGTTCACAGTTGATCATTTTACAATAATGCTGTTATGACATTTTCCTGGTTCTACTCATTGCACTTTGCATCAATTCGTGTAAGTTTTTCCAGGATTTTCTGAAAGTGTCTTGCTCATCGTTTCTTAAGGTACAGTATTTCATCATAATTATCTACTACAACTTCATTCCCCAATTGTTGGGCATCTCCTCAATTTCCAATTCTTTGCCACCAGAAAAGAACTGAAGGCATGACTTTAGACGTTGTCTTAGCACAATGTCTGGCACCTAGTAGGAACTTAATAAATGTATCTTGATAGATTTTTTTTTTATTATCTGATCAGTATGGAGTAAGGTAGGGTCTTTTATTGCACTTGGATACTGTGTTGTTAATAATAGTAACAATAATAAGTGGCATTTGTATAGTACTTTATAAAGTCTGGACAACAGTCTCTCATTTGAGCCTCAAAACCATCCTTTGAGTTTCACAGATTGGACAACTGAGGCCGAGATACGTTGCCTACGGTTACACAACTCATAGAAGGCAGAGCCATGTCTTTCTGATTCCATGCCAGCTGTCTATCTGTTATTGATACAGCCGAAGGTGACTACATTTGCTTACAATGTAGTTTCTAATATAGCCTACACTTCCATAGTGCTTTATAGCTTACAAAATACTTTCTTCATACCAACTCTGTGAGATAGGTGTACAAGTATTACTATCATCCTATTTTGTAGATGAGGAAAATGAAACTCTGTGATGTGAAGTAATTTGGCTAAGGTCCTGCAGCTTGTAAATGTCAGGTCTGAGATTCCAAACCAAGTCTTCTGACTCCCAAGCCGTGGCCTTTCCCACTGTGTTATATACCAGGAACTCTGTAAAAACTGATCAGGTGAGGAAATTATTCCTATTTTAAGAAGGACATATCTTGGGTGGACACTTTTAGAAATTTAGCAGTTGACACTGGTGTTAAAACAGATTTTAAAGGTCCTTTAGGTCATCCTCATGCCTTCATGGAGATGTACTCTAAAGCATCCTAGATCTAGTTTACTTTAAAGACTTGCTGAAAAGTGTATCCATGATATCCCTTGGAAACCTTTTCAAGTGTTTAACAGCCCCTCACTGTTAAAATTCATTCCATGAAACCAACTGAAACCTTCATGCTGCGGTCTTCCTTAAAAAAACAAACAAACAAACGAACAAAAACCTCATAGCACAGAACAAGAACAGAGAGAGTCACTGGTCTCAGTATGAAAATAATACAATCAATGCTTGTTAAATCACTTTTAGCCTTCTTTTTTTAAGGCTAAATAGCCTAATTTCCTTTCACCTTTCCTCATAGATCTAATTTCCAAATCCTTTCTCTTTAAAGCCTCCTATTGATTGCTGAAATCCAGAACTAGCACAATGCCTACTTAGGGGCTGATTATTCTGGGTAGGATGAGAGGATTCCTTCTCAGTTCCTGTATATGTGACCTTATAGAAAATACATATACATGATATATGTGTGTGTATGTGTATGTATGTGTATATATATCTACATTTACATGTGTATACACCTATGTGTATAGTATATCTGAACTATAGAATATATTCATGTACTCTGTGTGTGTGTGTGTGTGTATTATATATATATATATATATATATATATATATATATATATATATATATATATATATATGGAGAGAAAGAGAGAGTTGAAATCCTACACTTGACACCTAAGAGGTCGTGCTCTGGACCAAACTGCTAAATCTCTTGGTTCTCCCATGGAAGTCTCAGAACAGTTGCTGAGATGTATTTGGTATTCCTCAGCAAGAGATCCCCACATCTGTGAAGTCACAGGTCTGGCAGAAAGTTATTCTACAGCTCCTGGTTTCAAACATTCTAGTCATGGGATCTGCTTGATGAAATACTTTTATCATCATGGTAAATGACATCTTAGTGGCTTGATTTCATCTACTTGGACAGGGTGAGTAGCTCAGTCTTTATCATAAGTAACATCTTAACCCCACTAATACAGACATCATAGATAATATACAACTATTTGGCAAACCATGACAATGTGTGGTTTCATAAGCCCATGGAATATCCTTATTCATATTTCTTAGTGACTTGGATGGAGAGTTTTAGAAAGGTAATAATTTCTCCCCTGGCAGTACTATTTTGGGACTTCTCTCACTGACTTCTCTCTCATGCCCCAGGAAGCTCATTATTGGGAAAACTTCCCATAAGATCCCATCAGCCTTGGTACTCTTCCTCACTACCCTCTGCCCCTCTGTTTAGAAGGTGGGGCCATGAACTTCAAAACTTCTGTTTAAGGAGGGAGCTCAGTTCAGACATTTCATTTCTCCCCTGGCTATACTCATTTGGGATTTCTCTGACAGATTTTTCCACCAGGCCCCAACATCAGGTACTTTCCTTTGCTTTTCAGTTTCTTTTTGTATGTTGTCTTTTCCTATTAGATTATAACCTTCTTGAGGGTAGGAAGTAAAATGAGAGGTTTTGACTAGCTAGCATTCAGGTGGATAGCTATAGCCCTGAGCTTGGAGACAGAAAGACTTGAGTTCAAATCCAGCCTTAGATACTTACTAACTCTGTGACCCTGGGCAAGTCACTTAACCTCTGTTTGCCTCAGTTTCTTCAAAACTATAAAATGGAGATAATAACAGCACCTACCTCAAAGGCTTGTTGTGAGGATTACATAAATGAGATCATATTTGTAAAGTGCTTAGCACAGAGCCTGGCACTATCTTTCCCCAGATGGCCTTCAATCTCCAGATTTATGATCCTATGAAATTCAAACCATCACATTTGCTTATTGATTTAACTTTTCAAATTTGGTGAAGGATTTAGAGTGTACGTCAAACATTTACTAACCTAGCAACTTTAAAGTGATGTATTGACACTTTCTTTTTAATTGCTTCCATTTACTTGAAGCTGCAGAGAGGCAGATTTGAGCTTGATGTAAAAGAAAATTTATAATTGTCCAAAAATAGAATGGCCTGAGATATGGATGCTATTTGATGTGTCAATGCTGGGATTTTGAACCCAGGACTTTTGACTTCAACTCCTAAGAAGTCACTTTTAGCCTCTCAAGGGTGTTCAAGTTGGCCAATAGTAGTCTCGGCACTAGGAACTGTCTCTTATCCAAATCTAACATCATATACATTCTCTTCACCCAGAGCTTCTTCACTCCCATTTCTTTCTACAAGGTATTATCCAGGAGACTGATTAATTCTCGTGTGCAGTGAGGCCTGGACTTCCTTACAGTCAACTTAGAGGTGTGTCAGCCTAGGCACTCCAGAGCAAGTTAATGGAGAGGAAGGAGCTATGGTCTCTCTTTTCCTTTGGACCCTGCTTTCAGTAGGGAGGAGGCTGAGGGTAGGGAGAGAGGGTGGTTTGGAATTTCCTTGAGACCTCTCTGAGGACGTTAAGCTTTTCCCTCCTGGTCTTTGGGACAAGGTTAGCCCTTAGAAAAAATTGTGAAATAACTTGACATTTTTCTTTGCTGCTCTACTACTTCCATTTTAGCCCCTTCTTCAACTGTTGACACTAACTCTCACATTTCCATCTCTCTTTTTTTTTTTAAAGCTTTTATTTGCAAGGCAATGGGGTGAAATGATTCGCCCAGGGTCACACAGCTAGTAAGTGTCAAGTGTCCAATGCCAGATTTGAACTCAGGTCTTCCCGAATCCAGGGCTGGTGCTCTATCCACTGTGCCATCTAGCTGCCCCAACACTTCCATCTCTTAAGTCTCACTCAGACTACCCTCTCCCAACTATGGTTCAGCTTTCCTCCTCCCATAATGCCTCCTTCTTTATTGACAATTTATATTAATCAACCAACAAGTATATATTAAGCATCTACTATGTGTCAGATGCTAGGGAGTGTTGTTGTTTTGTTGTTATTGTTGTTGACTCGTTTCAGTTGTATCTGACTCTTTGCGACCCTATTTGGTTTTCTTGGCAAAGATACTGGAGTAGTTTGCTGTTTCCTTCTCCAGCTTATTTTACAAATGAGGAAATAAGGCAAATAGGTTAAGTGACTTACCCAGGGTCACACAGCTGGGAAGTGTCTGAGGCTGAATTTGAAGACAAAAACAAAACATCACTTGTCCCCAGGGAACTTATAGTCTAGAAGACATTTATAAGTATAGGTAGGCATAAAATAGATTCAGTATGATTTTGAGGGGAAGGCACTAGCAGCTGAGGAGACCAGGAAGGGCTTAGGATTATGTTCCACCTAATGGGTGAGTTTCTCAGTAATTAAGCATGATGTCCTTGGTCAGTTGCAGCTATGTGGTATTTTCATGCATGTACCTACTGGCTTTCCTTTATGAATAAAAGAACCCATTGTGTACCCTGCAGAAACCAAGAGTTTAGTCTAGTGTCTGAGCCTGACCAGTAGAAGGCAGTACCTGCTTAACTTTCCTTGGATCAGGATGGATCCCAGTATATTCCCAGGTTTTAGCCAGAAAAAAACATTTGCTACCTTTGAATAAATGGGCCATAAAACAGACACTCAATGTTTCTCTTTTGTGTTCTCCATGTGACATGACTCTTTTTCCTTTCTAGGTTTATGAAGCTGGGACTTTTCAGTGCATCAAGGCAACATGTTGCCCCTCGGTCCTGGATTAGCTGTAGCTTGTCTTCAGATCTTCATCTTCTCTGAAAACTGGGCTTTGGCCAAGAACATCAACTTCTACAGTGTGAGACCCCCTCTTGATCGTAAGTAGCTGGTTGCCGCCCAGGTATATCTGCCTTGGCAGCAATCCGCTTTGACACTTGTTTCAGCAGTTCACAACTCTGCCTTCATCTAGGTATGTTTGGGTCCTGCATAGACTAATGCAGGCATTCATCATTGTCTGTGGTTTAGCAACTGCCAGGACCAAGACATTGTCTTAATTTCTTAGCACCTTGGAGGGCTTTGGCTATCTCGGGGTCATCCTCCTTGTTAATTTTCAAGTATATTTAAGCATTGCTCCTTTAACTCATCCTTTGATTCTCCTATTTCTCCATGGTTTAGGTGAGAAAAATTGCAGGGCTCTTATTGACCTCTGCATTGCAGAAGTGTCTTACATAGAGGTTCATAAAGTATAGGGAGAAAAAAAATCCTAGCTTGCAGAAGTTTCTGCATAATTGATACCATACTAATTTCCCCAAATGGCCAGATTAGCATTTTTGAAAATGAATAACTACTTGGGAATTTTGGAGGGTTATATTTTCTACATCTGCATTAATATTGCAGCAAATCATCACCGGCAATAGATACAGAGAGCACCATTAATATTCAGCTTCCAAATAAGTAAATGGCAACTCGTTATGGAGTTCGTTCTGGGGGAAATAGTGGTTTATTTGTATGTGTGTGTGTGTGTGTGTGTGTGTGTGTGTGTGTGTGTGCGCATATGTGCATGTGCAGGCCTGTGTGTATTTTTCCTTGGCCGCTCATAAGCACTTTGTCTAAATGTGGCTCGGCAAACAGAATGCTTTCTTTTGGCCTCTTTAAAAGCCAAAGTCTGATCATAGCTATGAACTTGGGTTCTATTGGAGAAGACAGAACTCTAATGGATCCAGGGAGCAATTTGGTCTTCAAATGCTTATTGGTGATGTATTTATTGAAAAAGAGAATTCTAAACAACCACTCCATCACATGGGCCCAATGAGAGCTGCCTGATCTCCTGTCCTAATGCTTTGTAGCCTTTTGCTTTATCCTAACTTGAATTTCCTTTCCTTAAGGACATGTGAGACAGCAAGTTCACATCTCTACTGCATAAACTCAAGAGTGTTATTAATGGCCAATTTAAAATGTGATAACTCCAGTGTCCTGGGAGCTTAATTACATAAGGCAATGTTAAAGTAAAGGTTTTGCCCTAAAGGCTCATTCTAGGATGGAAAAGCCTAGATGCTAAAACGGTAAAAGTACAGGTTCTCACAATACTTAGATCTTTGGCAAATTCAGCTGGATACTTTTAAAAATCTAAGCAAAGCTAAAAATGTATTTATCTATGGTGCTTTATTTTTTGCCCTCTGGACTTTGACCTTCAACATTTAGTCATGGTTTTTTACCTAGAGAACCATCATCTTTTATGAAAGAAGGAGTTGTATAGTGAAAAGAGCACGGCCTCTGGAATCAGAGAACCAGGGTTCAAATCTCACCTCTGACATTTGCTATGTGTATGATCTTAGACAAATTGTTACCTCCCTGGATTTTAGTTTCCTCATCTGTAAAATGAAGGGATTGGGTTAGATGACCTCTGAGATTCTTTCTAGCTCTACAGCTGTGATCCAGGGATCTAGGTTTGGGTTGGGTTTTTTTTTCCAGTTGTTATCTCATGCCTGTTCTTTATGCTGGATCTGGAGTCAGGAAGACGTGATTTCAAATCTGCTCATAGATACTTCCTAGCTGTGTGACCTTGGACAAGTCACTTAACCTCAATTTGCCTCAATTTTCTTATCTATAAAATTGTGGTAATGATAATAACACCTGCCTTCCATGGTTGTTGTGAAGATCAAAGGAGATAATATTTATAAAGCACTTTGTGAATCTTAAAGCACTACATAAATTCTGGCTTATTATTATTACTGTTATTTAAGACAGGGTGGGAACATACTTAAATCTCTCATTTCTTCAGTTTCCAAAAGGAGGCAATGGGTGTTTAATCCAGTATGTTACATACTGGCATTAGTTTCCTCAAGCATGGAAGCCATCAGGATAGAATTTCTGGCCTCTGACCTTTGGGCTCTTGACCAGCCATTCTGATTCAGGTCCCTCCTGACTCTGGGTACAAGGGTTTGTTTTTTTTTTTAAATTGTTGTTGTTTTTAATATCTGATCAAGAAATTAAAAAAAACCAACTTCTAGGATTCAGCCTGGCATAGAAATGTTAGAGCATCACTGTACCACATTATATTCTCCCCTTAATGTGTGAAACCACCTCCAATGGAGGAAAAGATCAGCCTGAGATTATAGATGTAGAGAGTTATCTAGCACACGGAAAAATTAAGTAAATGGCCCACGGGCACACAGCCTGCCACATAGTCCGTAGTAATCATTTAATAAATACTTATTGACTTCTTGATATATGTCAGAGATGGACTTGAACCCAAGTGTTTCTGACCACAAGATTTGTGCTCTATTTACTCTTCCATGCTGGCTCTCTCTTAGATAGTGCTGCCTATAAAATTCCTAGCCAAAGGGTAATACCATCATCATAAGCATGAACAAATAAAATCACTTTATTTTAAATGAATATATAAGAGCAGCAAGGTTGGAATCTTGCTGGGTTATGGCTCACAAAATATACAGATGTGGTCAAATAGTGTATTACCAAGCTTAACAACTACATAGTATTATTATAATTATAAAACAATAACCTGATTTCTGTAGGCGGCTTGAGGCACTAGTCACTTTACTTCGTAGTCACAAGTACGAAAAATAGGCCTCATAGTTCACAGCAAGAGTTTAATCTTGTTCCTTCAGGTGCATTTGTGATTCAACTATGGATATATCTGACTCTCATTTGAGCTAAAGAAACCTCCTGTATTGTCTGATGCTTGAGATATTTTCTTTTTGTCAGCCTGTTCTAACTTTTCAAATTTCTTTAAAGCCACACCGTTTCCAAACAGCTTCAAATGTTTTACCTGTGAAAATGCCGGGGATAATTATAACTGTAACAGATGGGCAGAAGATAAATGGTGTCCACAAAGTAAGTGTGCTGGAGTTTAGAAGGCACTCTTTGATGATCTGATATCACTTAGATTTTTCTTGACTCACCCGTGGCACAGACTTTGGGCTTAATGGGATTAGCATACCAACAGGCTGATGTCCTGTAGGTATGCAGTGCAGGAACAGTGTATCCTGTGATCTTGCAAACTGGCTTAGGCCCCATTTCCAGCTAGTCTTTAATGAAGATATTTACTAAAGGGTACTTGTTAGAATAAACACATACAAAACTGACAGTAACTTCAAAAAGGTTTGATGCTCACTCTACCATATCAGACAAACCTACTACTTAAATAAATTATAGGGGTTTCTCTACTTTTTAGGAGGGGCAGCTAGGTGGCACAGTGCATAGAATGTCAGGCTTGGAGTCAGGAAGACCTAAGTTCAAATCCAGCCTCAGACACTTAGTAGCTGTGTGACCCTGGGCAAGTCTCTTAAGCCTGTTTGCCTCAGTTTCTTCATCTCTAAAGTGACCTGGAAAAAGAAATGGCAAACCACTCCAGTATCTCTGCCAAGAAAACACCAAATGGGGTCAGGAAGAGTCAGATATGACTGAAAAAAAGACTGAACAACAATAACAGAAGTATGAGATAAGCCTGGAAAGGGAGGCTGAAGCCGAATACACCAGAGGAGTTTCTGTTTTATCCTAGAGGCAATAAGGAGCCTTCTTGAGCAGGGGAGGAGCATGGTCCTAATATCTTAGGAAGAGAATCTTATGACTAGAAATGTAAGGAAATTAGGAAATGTATAGAATGCAGGATTAATTAATTGTCCTTAGGCTTCCAAAACTAGGGAGAGGGGCAAAATGTATTTGAAGAATTAGGAAAAGAGTATTTTTCCTTTATTGGCATCAGCCAACACAATTTTTTCTGGTTTCACGGATGGTATTTCCACGTAACAAAAGTTATACTTACAAAAGGAAGTTTACTTAGCTCTATCATGGGCAAGCTATTCAGAGGAAGGAAGGTATATTGAGCAAGCAGACTTCATTGGTTCTGTTGGTCACAGCTTCCCTGCCTCTGTGTTGTCTATAATGGCTGGCTGTCAGAAGCCTAGGGGAAGAGCCAGGTGACTCCATGTATGTTGACTTTCTGGTATCCAGCCCATCAGGAAGCTGTATCAGCAGCCTGAGCTTTCCCTGCAGGGAATTAGGCTTTAGGAAAAGCTAGTCCAGCCTGTGTGGCAGGGCCCTGGGAAATACTGTTTCTATCACAGATTGTTACTCAAGTACCAGTGAAATTGAAAAAAAAAGTTGTTAATGTCTAACAATACTTTATCATGAATCAGTTTAAAAGTTCTATATAGATTTATTATGATATTTTAAGCCAGTGTCCCCATTTTTCATTGTTGTTCATCCTTTGTTCTCAAAGAGGACCAGTGACATCAGGAGGGTGGTGTCTTGACTTGCAAGTGAATTGGATTTAAGTGAGGCAGAGCTGTGCAAAGCCATCAGTCATCTGGGTCCAGTTGGCAAGGCATAAGTCAGGACGACTGGCAGTGGCCCAGGACGCAGTGGCAGACCTTGGCCTTTTTAAGCTAAGGTCTTTCCCAGGTCTCACTTTGTCTGAGGCAACACCCATTCAGTAGTTAAAGGCTAAGTAAGAATTGAGGTATAAGATAGCCTACTTTCATAGCCTCTAATCTCTTTAAGGTTTTGTTTATATTCCAGCCAACTTTGAAACTAAGATTTCCACTGCTGTTTGATTCTTATCCTTTCTGATTCATGCCATGGATGGATGTCATCTTTTGAGGAATACATTTTAGATTTCCCCTCTTAACCTTGAACATGTTTTAGGAAAGTGGGGACATCAATGTCTATCCTCATATTCACTTTCCTCATTGACTTTTTTTTTTCACCTTTTGGAGTTGATCCAGGACTTGCTTCTTGCTTGGTCTGTGAATTTTGTATCCATTTTGTCATATGTTAAGCGAAGCCGTTTTTAACTGGGACATTCTTTGCTATTTCTAAATTTTAAAGTGGCATCCCACATTCAACATGCTCTCCCCTTGTGTTATCAAAAGGGAAACTGTGGCTTTCATTTTGGTTGTTGATGCTAGTGTTATGAAACTTTTATGTTTATGGGATTGAGGTGGATAGAAAAATTGAGTGACTGCATACTCACCAGGGCTCCAATGATGCTAATAATTTGGATTTATTACTAATGATACAACTTCTTGCCTTTCGTTTACATTTAGCAAAAATTGTTCCTTAGCTATTATACTTTGTTATTACTGTATCTTATACAATAATTAGTCTCTTTTTAGCAGTTACACTGCTTTAGTCTGTGTACTTTATTAATGATGGGATTGGATATCACAGAATATAATTCGAATGATATTTATTGTTTCATTTAAGTGAACATTGACCATGAATTTTTTAGCTTGCTTCAGCGTGTACGTCATTTTGTATAAGCATGCATTGTTACCAGTTTTCAATCATTTTTCTTCTTGCTTATGAGGAAATATTTAGTTGTTACATTAGGCTGATCTCCCTTTGGAAATAGTGATTAAAAATATCTTAGATATGTTTGAACTTTTTTTAGATCTCTTCAAAACAAGGGGTAGTCTAGACTTGTTGCAGTGATATTCATCCACTGGCTCTATCTCTGCCCTCTTAATATCTCTACCCAAGGGAAGCATCTTGGAGTGCCCTAGAGAATGCTTTAAGAGAGAGTCTCTGAAAGGTGAAGGGTCACATGTGAAAGGAGGATGCTGGGTAGAAAAAGTTCAAAGCAAAGTAAATAAATATGGGAAGAAAAGCAGGGAGAGAGAAATGAAGCTGACTGAGAGGAAGAAAAAGAAAAATCCGTTGAAGAGGAATAATCAAAGCAAAATGGAGGGATTATACATGCAGGAAAATTAGAATAAACACTTGATGAATGGACTAGTCAAATAATGGTATTATATTGGTACACAATTTGAAATGATTGCATTTTTGTCCTGCTGACAAGAAGCCAAGCTGTTGTTTTGTTTTAGCCAAAATGTTAGTCAGTCTAAACCCAGTTAATTCAAATTATTTATTGGATGTCTTTCCATTCAAGTGCTCTCTCTCTCTTTCTCTCTCTCTCTCTCCCTCCCTCCTTCTTTCCCTCTCTCTCTCTCTCTCTTTCTCTTTCTCCTCTCCATCTTCTCTCTCCCTCTGTCTCCTTCTTTCCCTCTTTCCTCCCTTCCTTCTTCTTTCATGTATCTGTTTCTCTTCTCACTCTGTCTCTGTCTGTCTCCTTCTCCTCAGTCCCTTATGAACTTGTCTTGATCTTTCTACTTAGATACACAGTACTGTTTAACAGTTCATCACTTCACCAGCCGTGGAAGGAGTACATCTGTCACCAAAAAATGTGCTTCAAAGAGTGAATGTCATTTTGTTGGCTGTCACCACCACCGAGATGGAGGACAAACAGTAAGAAGTGTGTGTGTGTGTGTGTGTGTGTGTGTGTGTGTGTGTGTGTGTGTGTGTGTGTGTGTGTGTGTGTGTGTGTGTGTGTCTGTGTGTGTCTCTGGGGGACATAGGAACAAAAGTTACTATACTGCTAAATTCAGCTCAGGCCATTCAGGTCTTTCTTTACAAAGAGGGTACTTGACCTAGCAGATTGAGTTGCTGGATTTGGTATCAGGAAGACCTGAGTTCAAATGCTGCCTCAGATACTTACTAGCTCTGTGACCAAGGACTACTTAATTAACCTCCCTTAAGTTCAATTTTTTCATCTATAAAATTAGTAATAATAGCACTTACTACACAAGATTTTTGTGAGGATCAAGTGGGATGTTTATGAAGTGCTTTCTAAATCTTAAAGCACTATATAAATGGTAGCTATTATTATAATTTATAGTAGACATTTGTGCAATGTCTGTCCAGTAGGAAGAAATTTGCAAGCAGGTGATATGTTTGAATACATTTGTAATTTGGGAGAAAATGCCTTTGACATACTTGAATGAAAGTGATGAAATATTGATGAAATAAAACTTCACTTTCACATTGATGGAGAAAATGACAATTTCCACAATTTGTTTTTACCTGGGACCCAAAAGCTGCAGGAGAATTGCTGGAGATCTACCCTTGTAGTCTAACAGTGATGCTCAAGCCATCAATTGAGAGAATTGTATTACAAATTCCAGCTCTGGGACTCTATTCTTGTCCAACAGTTGTTCAATGAACTGGTTTGGAAAACAGGAGTAGAGAGGGCAGAGATGTCTGTTATGATTTGTTTTTTAGTTGTTTTTTTTTTTTTGCCAGAAGAAACTTTGTTTTGCTTGGCTCTGAGAGAGCTTAATAAAAAAGATCTTGAAAGGAGTTCGTAAATCTGAAGTAGGTCATTACAGGTATCTTATAGATGTGCCTATATGACTGACCCATTTTTTCTTTACAGGATATTTGTTTGTTAGAGGTAAACTTATACCTTTCTCATCCTTACTTCATTCATTCATTCATTCATTCTTTTTTCGAAGCAATTGGGATTAAATGACTTGCCTAGGGTCACACAGCTAGTGAGTGTCAAGTGTCTGGTCTGAGACTGGATTTGAACTCAGGTCCTCCTGACTCCAGGGCCGATGCTCTACCCACTGTGCCACCTAGCTGCCCCTCATCCTGGCTTTTTAGAAAAGGTACCATGATGTTGTAAAACCCAGAACAACAAGCTACTCATTTTGGAATCAGGAAATCTGGGGTCTAGTTCTGGTTTTGCCATTAATTAGCTCTAACCTTGGAAAATCTTTTGACCTTGCTGGGTCCTAGTTTTGTTTTGTTTTGTTTTGTTTTTTCCTCTGTAAAAATGAGGAAATTAATTTCTCAGGTTCTTTAAGTACACTAACATTCTGGGACCAGTGTTCTATATATACAGAGAAATAGAAGGATAAGTGTAACCAATAAGCTTGGGGAAAATTTGAAAAGGTATTTGGCATTTTCTTGATTCTTCACACTTTAAATGTAAAGACAATGGAAAAGAGCACTAGTCTTATAGATAGCATGCTTGGTTTTAGGAACACTCATATCTAATCAATCCTTCTCAGTTTTATCTTTTTAAAGTTTATCTTTTATACCAGTGTCCTATTAAATGTCAGCTTAGTAGATTCAGCCCACTATTCTAACTTGTTGAACTTTTTTGAAATGCTGACTTATCCATCCATTGTGTTAGGTATGCCTATGTATAGTCAGAAGACAGGAAGTTGTGTTAGAGAACCTGAACTAGAAGGGATATGAGAGGCCTTCTTGTCCAACCCTTACTTGACCAAGAGTCCATGACAAGTACTCTTCTAGCTTTCTCTTGAAGACCCCTATTAAGGAGAGAATCCCAAGCAGACCATTTTACTTTGAGATAGTTCTAATTGTTAGGAATTTTTTTCTTTACATTGAGACAAAATCTATCGTTCCAACTTCCATCCATTGCTTCTGGGCAATGGTACAAACCAGTCGAGCCCCTCTTCCATAAGGTGGTGATACAGTTCCTTAAAAATAGTTGTCATGACACCCCCAAGTCTTCTCTTCTACAGAATTAGCACCCTAAGTTCCTTTACCTCCTTGTCATAGGGCATGATCTCAGGGCTTTTCACTCTTCTGGTCTTGCTTCTCTGGTTGCTCTCCAGCTTTCCAATGTCCTTCCTAAAATGTTGCCAGAGGGAATGGGACACAACATGTGACCTGCCTAAGGAAGAGGACAGCAGGACTATTGCCTCTCTCACTCTGGTCATTATGACTCCTTAATGTAGCCCAAGATCACATTTACTTTTTGGCTACAGTATCACACTGTTAACTTAACATTGAACTTGTAGTCTCCTAAAGCCCCCACATCTTTTTCAGAATAACATCCTGGGGCCACAAAGACCAATTCCTGTCCCTCATCCATACAACCGCCCTGCTTTTACTTGAAGACACTTCACACCACTCACCTAAGTCTTCTTAATTCCAGGCAGCCTCTCCAGTTCTTTCAACTGATCTGCTCTGTGAATTATCTCAGGATGTCGAGAAGGGGCTTCTGGGGCAGGTAGGGGTTGGACTGGATACCCTCCAAGGTCCTTTCCAACTCATATCTAATCAATCCTTCTCAGTTTTATCTTTTTAAAGTTTATCTTTTATACCAGTGTCCTATTAAATGTCAGCTTAGTAGATTCAGCCCACTATTCTAACTTGTTGAACTTTTTTGAAATGCTGACTTATCCATCCATTGTGTTAGGTATGCCTACAAGCTTTGTAGTTTGTAAGCATGAATCCCTTAACTACACCAGGCAGTGAAAAGAGTGCTTGTATTGGAATTAGGAGCCTGGGGTTCTAATCCTGGACTTTGCTACAAGTTATGTTACCTTAGGCAAGTCAGTTAGCTTTTCTGAGTCTTGGTTTCCTTCTCTGCAATGAGTTCAATTCCAGCCTCAGACATTTACCAGCTGTGTGACCCTGGGCAAGTCACTTAGCCCTGTGTGTCTTAGCTCCTCATCTATAAAATGAGCTCGAGAAGGAAATGGCAAACCACTCTAGTATCTTTGCCAAGACAACCCCAAATGGAATCACCAGGAATGGAACACAACTGAAACAACTCAACAAAAAATGAAGGAGTCAGATTAGATTTCATATTCCCATCCCCACATCTATGACCATAATAAATCATCTAAACTATAGTGCTAACTTACAAGAGTCTGTAAGTGACAATAATTCTTATCTTTGCGAACAAGTATAATCTCAGCAAATCAACAGGTAATACAAAAGCCCCTTCCTCTCATTGTTTTCAAGGCCTTATCTTGCCAAACATATAAGATTGTGAACTCACTTGAATGTAAGGGTGCTTGTTTCCTTGTTGATCCCTTTCCATCCTTTCTCTAGCTCAGGCTCCTGTCAGGTGCTGATAAATCAGGGATATAATACAAAATAATGACAGTAAGAAAATAGGACTTGAGTGGTTAATAGCCTAGATAATCAGCTTTATGGGGTTTTTTTTGGGGGGGGGAATCACCTAATTACTGCCTTCTTTGATTTACTTTTGTTTTTCTCTTTTCCCTTTCTTATTGCTCCCTGTTTGTTTGTTTGTTTGGTATTTGTTGGCCCTTTCCTTGATACTTCCTTTTCCTCTCTCTGAATCTTCCTTCACAGGAATGCAGATCATGCTGTGAAGGGATGATTTGCAATGTGGAAGTCCCCACGAATCACACAAATGCAGTATTTGCCATAATACAGGCTCGGCGGTCCTCAGGCACCGTCCCTTGGACATTCAGTTTACCAGTGCTCGCTTGTGTTTTCACAGTTCAATTGCTATGATGCCATTGTTGCCAAGAGAATCAGAGACAGTCAGTCCCTCCAAGCTCAAGCTTGAAACTGTGAGCAATAAACTTTCTGGTTGGAGTGAACTTTGCACATCATGAAGAATTCGATAAGCACATGTTAGACCACAACACAGAGGTGTGTGGTGTATGGAGCCAAGTGTTTGCTAAGCTAAAGTGCCCCATGAACGGGCCTGCAGTATTGAGAAGCCAGGATGGAGGCAAGGATGGAGAACCCAGAGGCAAGACTTGGAGGGGAATAATCTAGCATTTTCCTTACCACTGCTGGCTTCCTTGTTCAGTACTGAAGAATTCTAATGGGTTCCTTTAGTATTTTTAAATTGTAATAGGAGCAGAGGCAGAAGAAAAAACCTTACCAAGAAGACCATCTGTTCTTCCTTCACCACAAGGAGGTTGCTGAGTCACACCCTCTCAACCATTCTGACTTGCTAAAAATTCAATTCGTAAAAGTATTCCATTTCCTCAGTGATGTTCTCATCAAAGGGGAACAGCAAAGAAAAAGAAATTCAGCTTTAAGAAAGTGTTCCAGTTTAACCATTCTGAAGTCTGGCCACTAAATGTGGGAAAAAATAAAAGCTTTTAAATTATGGATTTTTGGTGTATGTGTATTTTATGTCATTTATGTGATGTTATATTCCAAAGTCTAGAAGTTATGTTGCATTGGTAGCTACAGTAAAAAGGAATTTCTTGCTGTTGATAGATTTTCATATCAAGTATACAGTTTTTTTGACATAGTGATTTTTTAAAAGTCCCCACCCAAGACTGGGGGTTTTAGGGTGTGGGTACTTAAAAAATTCTAATTTAGACGTAAATCTGTTTTGGAGTCCTAAGGGACTGGCCTTGGGAAGACTCTTGACAAAGATACACCCTTAGAAAAAGAAGCTTAAGGAATCCCCAAGATACCACCAACAGAGTAAGATGAGAAGTTCCTTCTCCTTCCTAAGGAGTATGCCGCAGAATCAAAAGAGCTTCCTCCAAATGAACCCTATTAGAATGTTTTTCTCAATTCTTTGTCAACTCCCCACAACAGTCCATTCTCAGAACTCTTAAGTGAGCATCTTCTCTCTATCAGAAGAGAGAAAAGAGAAGAGGCCCCAGTATAGAGCATGGTGTGGCATGGATTATGAATCATAAAAGGGAACTGAAGAATTACTAGACAGGTAGGAGGAGAACCAAGAGACAGCAAGAATATGAAAACTTAGAGAAGAAAGTATCCAAGAGAAGATGATTGATGGTATTAGAAGTTGTACAGAAGTCTAGAAGAAGAATTGAGGAAAAGCCCATTAGATTTGACAATTAAAAAATCATTGGTGACTATGGAAAGAGCAATTTTAGTAATGAAGGCAGAAGCCAGATTGCAGAGAAGTCCCTAATGGAATTGTTTCTGCTGCTCAGTAACTTAATTCTGGTATGATAAGATTGACTTCTCTGTATTTGTGGTTAAAAATTTGTGATAAAAGATTTCAGTTCTTAAAGTGATTTACCCAAATTCAGAAGGTAATAAGTGATAGAGTGGGATTTGAACCCATATCCTCTCCACAGATTTCAGCACTCTGGCTCCTCACTATATAAGACCATACATTAAAGCCAGAAGGAACTTTAAAGACCATCTATTGCAGTTCTTTCCATTGTACGGATAAGAAAACTGAAGCAAAGAGAAGGGAAGGGGCTTTGAAATGGTGAGTTTGAGATGCCTGCAGGACAGCAGATGGAAACATCTAGTAAACAGTTCATGACATGAGACTGGAATGCAAAAGACTAGAGAGAGTAGGAAGTGCTCATGGGTGGTAAGAGATGGAGTTGAGATTTGAACCTAAGCCCTCTCACTCCAAATACAAATTGCAGTTCTTCTAAATGAGTTGCTGTGGTTGAGGAAGTTAACTTCCTGGTGGCCAACCTTTGGTGATGAACCTTTAAAAATTTAGCTTGGATGACAGGTCCACCATCTGTCCTATACTCACAGCCTTTCCTTCTCATTAAGACCAGTCAAAATTTGTGTTCTTCTGGGACAGCCTTTAAGAACCCATTTGTAACATCCATACTGTGACAAGGCATCTGAGGAGGATTTTTGTGAACAGAGGAAAATGGCAACTGATAGGCTGTCTTGCCCATTAGCACACTTATTTTCTTGGTCCTGATGGTTTATGCCCTGAAGCCCATTCAGTATTTTAAACATTATGGGCTAGTTTCAGGAGCTGATGACAGCTATGACACAAGTCTATATTTATGCTGTATTTCTTTTTAAATGTTCTGAGTGCTTCACACCCTAATCCTCCCAACCTCCCTATAAAACTGGGAGGAGGGAGGCATCATCATCCCCAAGTCTCACCAACCCAGCCTAGGGAGCATCAGTTTGGAAGTATGAGGCAGATTTATCCCACCTTTCACTCATCAGCTTGAAGTGTCTGAGTTTTCAAAGCTCATACTTGTTTGAAATTAATTACATATGGTTTTGTTTGGAAACACTTTAATAGCATCTTTGATTTCTTTTTATTCCCTAGGGTTTCTTTTGTGTACTAAATGTGTAAATTGTGTAGTAAAAAACGATTAATAGCTGATGATTTTTTTCCCCTTGGTTCTGTCTCCATGGTCTAGGTCAGGGGTGGGGAACCTGTGACCTCAAGGCCACATGTGGCCTTCTAATCCTCAAGTGCTGCCCTTTGACTGAATCCAAACTTCACAGAACAAATCCCCTTTCTAAAAGGATTTGTTCTGTAAAACTTGGACTCAGTCAAAAGGCCACACCCAAGGACCTAGAAGGCCACATGTGGCCTTGGAGGCCACAGGTTCCCCCTCCCCTGGTCTAGGTTAATGGATATTCTCATGTTTCCCCCACCCTGGAAAATTAATCTTACCTCAAACAGGTATTGAATGGGTATTTTCTCCCATCCACCACAAATGTTTGAGGTTTTCCCTATTTGATAAACATATATAACCAAGCAACTCCTTTTAAGCACAAGACAAGGAATTCCATCTTGCTGTGTCTGGCTTGGCAAATGTGTATTATGCAGTCCATCATTGACTGTACCGGGAGCAGATTAGACAGGGTTCTTGCTTTTTCTGTTGGCCATCTTTGGACCATTTTACTGTCACTTCAAATAGCAGACACTGGTCCTAGATTGGGGGGCTGGTCTAGAAAGAGATACAGGCAGAGCATCAGGGGCATAGCTTCATAATTCTAGGCCATTTATATAAGCATTTAGAGTAAACCTACATTGCAACACCAAGTGACTAATAATTCATCATCGTAATTGAAATTGTGATGCTTTTTGTTCTTTGTTGCTCATTGCAGAATGAGTAGAGTGTTGGACCTGGAATCAGGAAGACTAGGGTTCAAATCTCACCTGTGACAATTGTTAGCCTGATGACCTCAGGCAACTTATTTAACTTATTTAACTTTATTTAACCTTTTTAAGCCTCAGACAACTCCCTAAGTCTTAGACACCAAGTTATGAAAAGGTTTCCATCTGCATGGTGGAGTTGCCACATTGACATATCTTTAGCATATTGATAGTGCCCATTATACGAGAAGCATCGGAGTGTCTGTTCTGGTAGCAAAATTGCTTCATCTAGTTCTGGTAAGCAATAAAAGAGAAAACCCAGGCCAATCAATTTTGCTACATGTTAATATTTCTGGTGAGAGATTTGCAAAGAGGAGACGTGGAGAATACAAAAGAGTGAATCTGTTGATGAAATGTAAGGCCCATAAATTATGCAATTAACACACTTATTAAAGCATGGTAGTAGACACTGAGGAAGATACAAAGGTCAGACTCATGGAGCTGACAATTTAGAAGGAGAAATAAGCTATGCATACAAATGACTCATTCAAAATAAACAATGATACAAATGGAATTCATGCTATGCTTGTCTTCCATTATTAGGATTGTCTTAAAAATGGTTGTCATAGACTCTCATCATGTATTTTAGATAAATCTACTTCCTAGAATAGCTGTTTCTGTGTTTTTATTACATGTTCGATCAAAATGAAGTAAGTCATTTCTTAGAAGAGAAAGCATGTGTTTATACTTTTTAGGGTCAGATGGGAACTAATAAAACTAATTAAACTAACTTTAATTAGTTTTATTAAACTAATAAAATAAACTAATAAAAACATTCAGAAAGCTGAAAGAAGAATTTAGAGAGTCAGGAAAAGTTGGCAACTTGTCCGCTTTCCACAAAGTCTGAACACTGTCAAGTCACCTACTTAGAGCAAAACGTAATCTGCCTTTATGATTAGCTGCTGACTCTTACTTTGACCTTTAACAAAATATGGAGCCTGCCAACTTTTAAAAATCTTTACTTTGACTTTTGGACCTTCTACATCCCATTTGTCATCTTGTTCTATGACCTCAGATGCTTTGATTTCTGTGTGATTAGCTACCCTATTCACTCCTGCAATTTAAGAGTGAGGGGAAACCCCCCCCCCAAAACATTGCCCAGATGGAAATTGTTGGCATGTTGGTCACTGACATAGCTTTCAATCATTTATTTAGACATGTTTCCTGCCACATTATGGCGAGGACAAATGTCCAAGGTGAAGGTGGTTGAAAGTTGACTAGTTGAACTTGCTTTGTGTTTCTAATCACCTATGGAGCCTATTACCCTCATTCCTATTGCTCCTTTCTTCACCAACTTCATTCAGGGAGAAAAAAAAACAATTGAAAATAATGTGCTTTTATCAAACTTCTTTTAATGTCAAAAAAATTTTTTTATGTACTTTATTCTTATTTATAATAAAGGGGTTTTTTTGGCATGTGTGTACCCATTTTGTCGTATTAGACTAATTTAGATTTAGTTTCAGACTCCTTTTGGGCAGAGTAATTCAGTGTGCATTGTGGAAAGAACACTGGCTCTGGAATAAAATTTTACCTTTGACCCTGCATATTAGCTCCTTTTGGCCTCAGTTTCCTCATTTGTAAACTGAGATTGGATGAAATAGTATCTAAAACCCCTTCCAACATTACATCTATGATTTTATGATCCTAAGTATAACAGAATAAACTGGCACCTGAACAAGAAAGTCATCTACAACCTACCTGACAACCTAGCCTTTCTGGCTTTGGCTTAAAAACCTCCTTCTACTGTGGGTAGCTTTTATTTATTTGTCTATTTATTTACTTATTTACTTATTTATTTGTTTGTTTATTTATTCATTCATTCATTTATCTATCTATCCATCCATCTACTCATTCATTCATTCATTCATTCATTCATTCATTCATTCATTTAGCAAGGCAATGGGGTTTAGTGACTTGCCCAGGGTCACCCAACTAGTAAGTGTCAAATGTCTGAGGCCAGATTTGAACTTGGATCCTCCTGACTCCAGAGCTGATGCTTTAGCCATTGTGCCATCTAGGTGGCCCGGGTAGCTTTTATTATTAGGAAATTCTTCCTGATATCAAACTGACGCTTGCTTCATCACATCTTTCTTCCATTCATCCTATTTCTGCTGTCCGAAATCAAGCAAGACAAGTCTATTCTCTTGTCCATGTGGCATCCTTTTAAAGGATCCTTTTGGAGATGGCCATCACTTTCCTGAGTCTTCTCTAGACCCAGCATCCCCCCAGTTCCATCAATTCATCTCCCCA